TTTGAAACCGTAAGATGATCGCCAAGAAATTGCCAGTAGATTGAAGTCGCCAATGACTATCATCCCGTCAGCCGCTTTTTCGTAAAATCTCAGACAATGCTTCCGTATCACGATGTCCGAAACGTCAATGCCAGGTGTGTTGACAGTCTCCTCGATGCACCTTATCGCACTTAAGGCTGCACAAACTTGATGGCTGTTGGTTGACCCGGTATAACCTTTTGATTTAACAGCTTCTGCGACTACCTTGCCGTTGATCACGATCCAACACCTTGTTTCCTCAAGCTTTCGTGTGGTTAAAACAGGAACCGAAAGAAAATTTACCGCTTGTTTCGGCACGTAGAGTACCGTGGAAGCACCATACTTGACGCAGTTAAGACAATTTCAAATTCAAACATGTTCTAAAAAATGAGAGTCTTACCAATTCAATCAATATTTTACACAGTAATAGTTCAGTAAATACAGAATGTAGGAAAAATAAATAAAACGTAAATATCTGTTAATTTCTTGATGTTATAATAAATTTCTGTTTGGTACTTTGGGTTCCTAACTTGACGCATAGAATCTGTAATGTGCCTTATTTGACGCAAGGTGTTCTTTATTTGACGCACTTAAAAAAAATAGCTTAATTTCAACAAAAAACAAGTGTTTATTGAATGGTTGATGAAATATGGTAAATATACAAATCATTAAAGATCAAACAATCAATTTTATTTTCAAGACGTTTTGCTGCGGCCAATTTCTTCGCTTCTCTGGCTGCCTTTTTCTCCGCTCGAATTTGTTCTTCCTTCTGTTTGTCTGCTTCCATCCTTTCAAACCACGCTCTATACTCGTCGCTTGTAGCGACAGCAGGATTAGCTCGTTTTGGGCTTCATGTAGCTTTGTTTTGGGTTCCATGTTTCACATAGAAAATAATAAGGGCCACTGTGAGCCTAAATTGACGCAAAACATTTTCGTTAAATAATGTGCTCTAAACATACTATATATTGCTGAATCAGCTGTTAAACGTTAAAAATACTTACAGTTTAATAGTTAGTAACGTTTTATTACACAAAAACTGATTTTCTGCGTGAAAACTAACAATAAACATTAAACTTGCTCCTTAGCGTTGTTGCTACGATGAGAAAAAAATGACGCATTTGACAGATGGCTTTTTCGTTTTGATTTTGATTGCTCTTATTAGCAATAAACAAAGTATGTTTTTTGTTATGAATGGGTGGCATGAGTGTAAACAAAGGACAGCAAATTACAATTTCGGTGCAATTCAAACCGAAACAGGAGTTATGATCGAATTGATTGGAAAGTGCGTCAAGTTTGGACCCGCGTCAAATATGGTGCTTCCACGGTACTCAATTTAAAAGTATTGTGGTATTACCTTTATCATCGTTCCGCTTGATATTTCCACTGCCAGATCCCTCTACTACAAGTCAGCTATTTCGACATTCCCGGTTGCTGCACTGGCTCCGGAGTCGACAATCTAATTCTCCGAACCATGTCCTCCACCAATTGTTAGAGCATATATATCGTCCAGATTGCTTCGAGCCATTTTGGCATTCCCGTTGCTTATGATCAGGTCACTAGCAAATATGGCACAGTAACACCTTCCGAATGACGGTTCCTTTTAACGCTGATCCACTTGAAGAATACCGATTATACTTATTGACTTCATACAGAAGTTTCTCATGTACCAAGTTCAGGGTCATCGCGTTATCTGATCGCGTCTCCAAAGCGGTTGTTAACGCATTAAATGACTTCGGTAGTCCGCGTAATACAAAAGCTACCATAGTGTCCTCACCGAGGTCCATTCCTGCGCTACAGAGTTTCGTGTAGAGATCTTCCATCTTGTTCAGGTAACTGTCCATATCTTCGCTTTCATGATATCGATGTCAACACATCCGTTGCAACAAGGAAACCCTCGTGAAGAGTGTAGGCTTTTGATGATGTTTCGCTAGTGCTGACCATGCCTCCTTGGCCGTCCGAATAACTCGAATGATTCCGTACTGGTTCTTCTCCAACAGCAATACGGTGGCACGAGCTTTCTCCTCACCTACGAGCGGAAGGAGCATGAGCTCCTTCAGCCTGACCTGCTACCGGAGCCGGTGGATCGTTCTCAACGGCCAAAGTCCCTCTCGGATCAGCAGCGCTTCCGTTCTTAGCTTTCATGCCTCGTAGTTTGAATTCGCGGAATAAGCTCTATAACGTCCGATGAAATCTTCAATTCCGTGCTCAGGCCCAAAACTTGTTGCAAAGCTTATTTGAAACACGTTTGGAAGTACTTTAACTATTTGTTTTATATTACTTCTGTGTGAAGTCAACGATTTACATAGTTGAAGATCCTAATTTCAAATAGCAGGCTAGAGTGGTAATTTTAATACGATAGATGAGGAGATGCTCGATACTTGGTATCTTGGATCTCTCGTTCCGCTAACAAATAGTAACTAGCTGGCCCATAATACTGGGGTGACTGTAAATATAGTAGAATTTCGTTCGTTATACCCCCTACAGAATATGGTTTATATCATGTAATATAGGCTGTCTTGCAATGAGCACTCATACATCTAGTTTTCACTGGAAATCCTATGCATGAGTGCTCGTTGCAAGACAGCCTACATTACACTGACAAGCTCTTTTTATATCATAAAAAATACAAAATATGATCATAACATCTACTGATTTCATAATGGATCAATGAAAATGCTGAGGTTTTGACAGAACTATGCTGTGGTGGGTTCAAAACTTTACCATCTAAAATGGGTTGTATATATCTGCGAACAAAAGGTAAGTTCCGAAAACTTCTGGAATTTTTTGTGAACTTCAGGCAAACTTCAGGATTTTCAAAGTGGTTCCAAAAACTTAGAATTGAGAGAACTTCAGGAATGCTTCGAAAGTAGAAGGACTAATCAGAGAAACTAAGAACAGTCCAACTAATTTTAAGCAAATTGAAGAACTAGAAGAAAACTAAGAAGTTCCAAGAAACTCAGGGAATTTCCGAAACTTCATCAAGTACCAAGACCTTTATTTAAATTTCAGAAACAAAAGAGATGTTACATGAGCGTCAGGAAAATGATTTTCAATGCAGTTTAAAGAACTGCAAAACAATGCAGGAACTTCATCAACGATCAGATTATGTTCAAGAAATTCACGAGATTTTTTAAAATGTTCAGAAATCTTCAAGAACGTCTAGAGACCTTGAGAGAAGTATATATTTTGGGAAGTTCTCGGAACTTCGTAGATGATTAGAGATCTTCATATCAGTTTCATTTATTTAAGGAAAATTGCGGGATATTTCAAGGAATTCAAAGGAATTATGGGATATTTCAAGAATTTCATGAATTTTGCGATACTTCAGAAACAATGCGAGGTCTGCAGGAAATTTTATAAATATAATTAAAATTTCCGAAACAATAGAAAAATTAATGAACTTTAGGAAAGATTAAAAACCTCACGGAAGTCCAAATAAAACTTTTTTTACGCGAATTGTCTACTTTTGTGGATGTTCAAAATCTTCAGAGAACCACACCGCTACCTGGTTACATATGCTAGTCTTAGATCCTAATTCATACATGTAACTTCAGAATAAGTGAATCGTAAAGCTCTTGAATCTTTTTTATGAATTGATCACTTTTACGCATTGTCCGGACCTCCCGAATGACCGGGTTATGTCCAGCAGAGTTCGCATGCTGGTCCCAAATCCAAATTCATTAATGTAGCATCAAAATAAGTGATTTAAAAAAAATACGGAGCTGTAGGATCTTTTCTATGAATTGGCCCCATTTACGGATGTTCCGGATCTTTTGAAGGACTGTTCCACGGCCACCAGAGTGCACATACTGGTTTCAAATTCAAATTCATTCATGCAGCATAACAACAAGTTGATTAAAAAAATCTAGATCATTTTTTTACTAATTTCCCACATTTATGGATGTTCCGGGTCTTCCAGAGGAATGCTTTGCTGTCCCTTGGGTCCACATTTTTGTCCCAGATACAAATTCATTCATATATCACAATTTACAAATGAAAAACAAAACAAACATTTTATGGATAGCAACGCTTGGGCCGGTTGCTATCGCGCTACTATATTTGTCAACTCGCTGTTCACAGGCAGGTTGTTATTTCTCGTACTTGAATAGAGCTTTTTGACGTCTAATCGGCGCACACTATTGCACCATTTAAATCGAACGAGTGCGAGCAAGAGGGAAACAGATTAGTGGGAAAACAAACCATGCATTCATCCATGTATGCTAGAAAGAGACAGACGATTAAACGTCAAAAAGGTCTATACACAGCAAAAAAAAATGTAATATCGATCAACGTAATTCAAGCTGATGTATGAAATAATCATGTAATAGCAAAAAGCAGATACAATATTACATCAATGGATGTAATTTTGTTCGCAAAATCGATGTACATCGTACAATGTGATATTACACAACCGATGGATTGACCTGGTTGCAGCAGTTTCGATGTAATATTCAACAACTTTTTTTGCTGTGTAGCAACCCCCGGTGCGGTTACTGGGTTATGGAGGAGGTTGCTAAAATAGCTCAAGCAACGCATTGGTGCGGGTGCTCTAAACAACCCAATTCTGAAAAAAATATTTTTATCTGGAAATTAGTATTTGCAACTATAGCTTCGACTTCTTCCTTCCACTCTCACGACTCTAACAAATCATAACATTATTAAAGTTTAAAAACACATTCGATTGCCTCTCGATCTGAACACAACTTTCTTCCGCACAGAGCCCCAAAATCTCCTATCATCATCATCATCGCACACTTGCAGAGCTGAGGAGGAGCGTGAAAGCAAAACTACACACACGACCAACTTCGAATCGAATCGATTGTCATCGCCTTTCTTTGCACTTTCGCGACGCAGCGAACCCGAATTTACTGTCGCAATTTCCGCACCATCCCGCACGGTTCCCGGAATGTTTCGTACCTCGTCGGAAGCGTTGCACTGTCCACTTTCGCCGGAACCACTTTACACTCGAAAAAAACACCTACCTTTGCTTTGGTTCCGGGTCTGTTTCTTCGGAGGATCGTAGAACCGTCAGCCATCTTCATGATTGGAAAATTCTTTTTCCCCTTTTGACAGCTGTTGTTTTGCGAGCTGTCAGTCGCGGGTACGGTTCCGGGAACGACCGTCAGGTGTCGCCGTTGGTGTTTTTGTTTCGTCACTGCACTGATCAGCGCGCATCAGTCAGAGATTGTTTTGTTTGGCGGTTCTCGGTCGGAAAAGTAATACAATTAAGCGGATAATTCAGTACAGGAACGATGCTACGGAAACTGGATCGGATAGCATTGCTGAGGAGGCGGAATCCCGTCGCGGTCAATAAGTGGGTTAGCACTTGGTCCCCGCTAACTACGGCGTTCAACACACGGCCTGAGAGGCGAATCAATTTCACCAAAAATGAAGTCGTAAGTACTTATTTACCTCGCGTATCATTTCATAATCAAGACAGCTTTTGCACGGATTTGTCCCTGACCTTGAGCTTCGCTGTTCCAGGGACTGTTCAGTATCCCCGAGCTGACCAGCCACGAGGGCTTCTACGTACTGAAGGAAAAGGCTATTTTCAAGACGGAGGATCTCATCGAAGAAGCTACGTCATCCCAGCGGACTCGGAAGATGGTGACAATTTTCGACGAACTATCGGATACGCTCTGCAAGGTGGCAGATTTGTCCGAGTTCATTCGGTTGGCTCATCCACAGTCCAACTACAGTCATGCGGCGGAAGATGCCTGTATTACGATCAGTGGGATTGTGGAGAAGCTCAATACCCACAAAAAGCTCTACAAGGCCCTGAAGCGGGTCGTGGACGAAAACGATCTAATGGAGACGACGGACGTGGACAAGCACGTAGCCGAATTGTTTCTCTTCGATTTCGAACAGTGCGGTATCCATTTAAAGGAACAGGATCGGCAGAGGGTCGTTTACCTGAATGATTGCATTCTTCAGCTAGGCCAGAGGTTCATGGCTGGGGCTGTCCACCCAAGAACCATCAAGAAAAGTGTCCTTCCGGATGCAATTAGACCGTTCTTCTCAACCGATGGAGATAACGTTCTGGTTTCCGGCCTGTACGCGGATTCTTCCAACAACATGGCAAGAGAAGCGGCATACAGGTTGTTCCTTTATCCGGATCAACACCAGGAGCAACTCCTATCGGAGTTGCTAAAGTCCAGACACGAGCTGGCGGCTGCTTGTGGCTTCAAAACCTATGCCCATAGGGCCCTGAAAGCTAGCACCGTAGAGACCCCGGAGATGGTTAACGAGTTCCTTCAAACCCTCAACGAAGAACTGAAACCACGAGCGGAGCGAGACTTTGGCCTGATGAAAAAGATGAAAAATGCCGAGAACCGTTTCGAGTCTCCATTGGCCACCTGGGACACTCCCTACTTTACATCCACGCTGAAGAAGCGTTGTCTCCAAGCATCCGCATCCGAATTCTCTCCCTACTTCAGCCTTGGAGCTTGCATGGAAGGCCTCAACCTGCTGATGAACAGCCTCTACGGAATCAGCCTGGAAAATACGGAAATGGAACCGGGCGAGAGCTGGTCGCATGATATCTACAAACTGGCCGTTACTCACGAATCGGAAGGCCTTCTCGGACACATCTACTGTGACCTATTCGAGCGACTCGGCAAACCCAACCAAGACTGTCACTTCACGATTCAGGGCGGAAAAGTGATGCCCGATGGATCCTACCAGAATCCAATCGTCGTAGTTATGCTCAATCTATCTCAGCCCCGTTGGTCCGGTCCCACTCTCCTAACACCGTCGATGGTGGACAACCTGTTCCACGAAATGGGTCACGCCATGCATTCGATGCTGGCCCGAACCGAGTATCAACACGTCACCGGGACCCGGTGCAGCACTGATTTCGCAGAAGTTCCCTCAGTTCTAATGGAATACTTTGCCAGCGACCCTCGGGTCCTGCGAACCTTCGCCAAACACTTCCAAACTCAGGAACCTATGCCGGAGGACATGCTGGAACGCCTGTGTGCCTCCAAACACCTTTTCTCCTCGAGCGAAACGCAACTGCAGGTATTCTACTCCGCCCTTGATCAGGTCTACCACGGTGATCCAGCCCGTCATCAAGCGAGTACCACCGAAACGCTCCGCATCGTACAGGACCACTTCTACGGATTACCGTACGTGGAGAACACCGCCTGGCAGTTGCGATTCTCGCACCTGGTTGGCTACGGAGCTAAGTACTATTCGTATTTGATCTCCCGGGCCGTAGCATCCTGGATTTGGCAAACCTACTTCGAGAAGGACCCCCTGAGTCGGAGTCAAGGCGAAAAGTACCGACGGGGATGTCTGGCCTACGGCGGTGGCATTCCCAGCAGACTGCTGGTGTCGAATTTCCTCGGCAGGGAAGTGACGCCAGCTAATTTGACCAAGAGTTTGATCAACGAAATCGACGGGTACAGTGAGCAGTTGAGGGACTTTGAGAAGCACGTCTAAAGATAGTGCAGGGCTTTGCAACTGAGGGTTAGGGTTAGGGAAACAATGTTTTAGATGAAATATAAAGTAATCATAATGATGTTGATGAACTGCCATTTTGTAGTTTTTACTTTTTTGCATCCGTTTGAGATTTCCGTCCTTGTCGATTGTTTGGCGTTCTCTGTCGTCGTTTATTATTCAGTTCCTCCCGGAATCGAATATATTATAGAAGATATAGAACCAAAACATTAAAGATTTGAGAAATTTTTTAATTTTTTTTTTATTAGGGTAGAGAACTACTTCGGCCTAATCGCCCATTTTGTGCCTATCTTTGTTTTTTTTTTTAATGATTAATAGCGAATTCGTTCATTATCGGGGTTGTCAGTGTGAACCTCAACCTGATTTAGGTTTTAAAAACAAACGATCAAACTGACATTTTTCAGAAGACAAACAGGCCCACTATTGATTCCCGATCCAGGTTGGAACTGAATAATAAACGAATTCGCTATAAGTGAAACTCGAAATATTCCATCAGTTACAACAATTTAAGAGAGGCGCGACCCTGTATTGATAATTAAACCGAAATATTGATGGAAATATTGACATAATATATATTTACATAATTATATTTTTGACAATAATATTGATTATGTGAATACAGAAATATTGTCAATAACGATGTAATGACGTCAATATAGAATGTATTGACAATACGGTTATTGTCAATAAAAGCAATCGTGTAGGGTCCACTTAACGTAAAACCTTTTCGACAAGAAAGGGTTAATGGAATCGTGAAATTTGTTCATCCTGTCCCTGATCCAGTTTCAAACGACTACTGTGGAGAATATAATGAAATGAAAATTAAATTTCCTTGAAAAATAAAGCATTTTATCTTCAATATCAATACTTCTTATACCTTCTGGAAAGCGAACCACATACGTATCAATATATTGACACGAAGGGGAATTATTGACATTAATATTGATGATGTGAATACAGAAACATTGTCAATACCGATGTATTGACAATACGAACACTCTAAACTGAAGCCTACACGATTGCTTTTATTGACAATAATTGTATTGTCAATACATTCTATATTATACTATCTATATCTATCTGATTCCACATCTCGATCCACATCATCAATATTTTTGTCAATAATTCCTATTCGCGCCAATGTAATGATACGTGTGGGGTTTGCTTATAATAGTAAGCAGTGTGGATGTTTTTATTATGCACAATTTTCAACTGCCATATTCTGTCATTGAGAGGTGCAGGAAATTTCTCTAAAATTAATTACCCGTACATCCAGTTTCATTCAACAACATGTATTGAATTCCAAACGCTTCAAACCACTACTCACCAATCTCCATCGGCTGTTTGTCAGCCGGAGCTTTGTCCGACTTGGCTCCTCCACCAGGGTCCGCTTTCGGTTTGTTCTCATTCTTCTTCACTTTCTTGGCCTTATTTTCTCCACTCCCACTGGCTTGAACTTTCTGCTGCTGTCCATCACCTTTCTCCCCCGCGGTCTTTTCAGCTTTATTCTTATTTCTGTTTTTCTTTCGACCACCACCGCCCCCGCCGTTCCCATTAGCTGCTCCATTTTTATCATCCCCATAGTGGCGGTTCGGTTTTTTGTTGAGCTGTGGTCCGGTGAAGTAATTACCACCCTTCCGCGAACCTGACCCGGATCCTCCCTTGCCATCCGATTCCAGCCAAAACGTGGTGCGGGTTTTCGAATGTTGATAGCCAGGTGTTTTAGGGTCGATTTCATCCAACGACATTAGGATGTGGATGCTGGGTATGTTTCTGGTGGCCACAATCTGTTCCAGACCTTCCTGCTGCGGGTCCCAGTATTCTTCGACTCTAGAAAAATGAAATTCGAAAGATTGAGTAATTGAATGTGTGCTTTGCACGAATGACTTACTTCCGGTAGCATACCCGCGTGATCTGGTGCAGTTCGAAGTCCTTCTTCATGATCTCGGCACAGCTGATGGTTTTCCCGATGCCACCGCCCGTTCCGCTCCACACCACCGTACGCTGGTCGCCGGACTCCAGCGCTTTCCTGGCATAGTCCACGAGATTGAAAATGCGCGAACCACCCTTCACGTGCATCCACAGAAACTGCCCCGGAAGCACTTCGATCGGAATCTGCTCCTTGGTGAGCTCCTCCTCGACGTTTTTACCCTTCTTGTAGTGCATCATCTTTGGTCCATTTAGTGCCGTCAGCCTGAAAGTAGACAAGACAACGAGACACATTCACAATGGATATCGATTGGAACCGGATCGCAGCGGATTGTCGTACTGGCTGCTTCCATTTGCTGCAGTACAACTTTGTATGTGCGCATTTATTCACCATCATCGGCCGCCCGTACCGTTACGGGACGAGATAGAACGTAGTTTGAGGGTTTTTGGAATTCGCAATGGAATGTTGGTTCTTTATTATTGTCTCGTTTGCCGTTTTGCCAATCTTCCAATGTTCGTTGTGAGAGCTGGGAAGAGAGGCGATGATGACGACAATGTCGAGGATATGCGCGTTCTATCCGATGCTGGTGTCATTTCATCGCATCTTTGAGTATCGAAGCTCGAATGGTTCGTTTGATGCCTTGGGGAAAATTAATCAATATAGAGGGTGGTGAAATCTTAATACATTATTTTATATTGTAGATGCTGATGCGAAAATCGTACAACCAGTTATCTATCTTCGATGTTTGTTTTTATAAAGTAAACTCCCTGCTTGGTATTCCGTAAGTCGAAGATTTCATGCAGTGTATCTCAAAATTGAGCGTACACCTGAATGGACAATTTTTTGAAAGACTTGAGTAGATAGATTTTTAAAATCATGGCTAGTGGTTGAACAAGTTTGAGTAATTTCAGTAAAACGGTCCATTTTCAACTTTTTTCCTTGTGGGCGCCGGATTTTAGTAAAATTACTGGCATTTTAAAGATCTTTATTATGACTCTAGGGGCATCCCACTCTAAGCTTTGTATTTATTACGATGTACATAAAAACATCTAACTGATATCTAAGATACCTTACTTACCTTACCAATCAGGCTAAGGCCTTGTTGTGCTCTGCGGTTCGAAGAAGTCGTCTCTACTCTACTCGATCCATGGCCACACTTCGCCAGCCTCGTAGTCTGCGAAGGGTCCGCAGGTCGCCTTCTATTTGGTCGATACACCTTGCCCGCTGCGCGCCTCTTCTTCTTGTTCCTGTTGGGTCGCTTTCTAGAACCATTTTCACTGGGTCGACGTGCGGCAGTCTTACGACGTGCCCAGCCCACCGTAGTCGCCCAATTTTTGCAATGTGGACGATGGATGGTTCTCCCAGCAGCTGGTGCAATTCGTGGATCATTCGCCTCCTCCACGTTCCGTCATCCGTCTGCACTACACCGTAGATGGTACGCAACACCTTCCGTTCGAAAACACCAAGAGCGCGTTGGTCCACGTCTCGTGGCCGTAGAGGACCACCGGTCTAATCAGCGTCTTGTAGTCCAAAATAGACACGATTCCCTGCCATAATGCGTCTTTGAATTTCAGTACTGGTATCATTTTCGGCGGTCGCCAGTGTGCCCAAATACACGAACTCATCGACCAGCTCGATTTCGTCACCGTCAATCTGAACTCGGGGTGGGAGGCTAACATTGTCTTCCCTAGAACCTCTTCCTTTCATGTATTTCGTCTTCGATGCGTTGATGGCAAGTAAAATTCACCTAGCTTCAGCCTTCAGTCTGATGTACGTTTCCGCCATCGTCTCAAAGTTCCGTGCCATGATGTCGATGTCATCGACGAAGTCAAGGAGCTGGATGGACTTCCTGAAGATCGTGCCACTCGTGTCTATTCCAGCTCTTCTGATCAAACCTTCTAACGCGATGTTGAACAGCAGACACGAAAGTCCATCACCTTGCCGTAACCCCCTTCAAGATTCAAAGGGACTCGAGAGTGTCCCCGATACTCAAACAACGCACATCACTCGATCCATCGTCGCCTTGACCAATCGCGTCAGTTTATCCGGAAATCCGTACTCGTGCATAATATGCCATAGCTGATCTCGATCAATTGTGTCGTAAGCGGATTTGAAATCGATGAACAAATGATGTGTGGGTACGTTGTATTCGCGACATTTCTGCAGAACCTGCCGAATTGCGAAAATTTGGTCCGTGGTAGCGCGGGCACCCTCTTGCACAGGTGACAGGCGGCGGCATAGAATTTGGGAGAGTACCTTGTAGACGGCGCTCAGAAGTGTGATCGCGCGGTAGTTGCAGCAATCCAACTTGTCGCCCTTTTTGTAGATTGGGCGTACGACCTTCCATCCACTCCTCCGGTAATATTTCCTCCTCCAAATCTTGGCAATTACCCAGTGCAGCGCTCTAGCCAGTGCTTCACCACCGTATTTTAATAGCTCACTTGGTAGTTGATCTACACCAGTTGCTTTGTTGTTCTTCAGCCGACCGATCTCCTCCTCAACTTCTTGAAAATCAGGGGCCGGCAGCCTGTCGTCTTCTGCGCGTGCTCCAAAGTCTGTTGCCGTGCCACCTTCGTTTTCTGCGGCATCACCGTTGAAGTGCTCGTCATAGTACTGCTTCCATCTCTCAATAACCTCACACTCGTTCGTGAGAAGGCTACCGTCCAAGTCCTTGCACATATCGGCTTGCGGCACGTAGCCTTTGCGCGAACTATTTAGCTTCTCGTAGAACTTCAGTGTGACGTTTACGCGGTACAGATTTTCCATTGCCTCATGATCTCGGTCTTTCTGCTGACGCTACTTCCTTCGGAAAACCGAGTTTTGTCTGTTCCGCGCTTGTCTGTATCGCTCCACATTCAATCTTGTGCGGTGTTGCAGCATTCTTCTCCTCTACTAGCATTCTCCGTCAAACCAGCCATTTCTTCGGTCCGGGATTCCAGTACCTAGTGCCGCTGCAGCAGTACTACCTATGGTGGAACGGATTTCCCTCCAGCCATCTTCAAGAGAAGCTGCGCCAAGCTGCTCTTCCGTGGGTAGTGCAACTTCCAGCTGCTGCGCGTAGTCCTGGGCAACTCCGGCGTCCCGTAGTTGCTCAATGTTGGGTCGCGGCGTTCGACTTCGACGTGTGTTATGCACCGTCGAGAGTTTTGAGCGCATGCGTACTGCAACTAGGTAGCGGTCCGAATCTATGTTCGCACTGGGGTACGTGCGGACGTTGATAATGTCGGAGAAGAATTTCCCGTCAATTAGAACGTGATCGATTTGGTTTTCTGTGTGTTGGTCAGGTGATCTCCAGGTGGCTTTGTGGATATCCTTGCGTTGGCCGTTGTCGTTCGATATGGCATTTATACATTGCCTCCCGTCCTAGCTGAGCGTTCATATTTTGCCGTCCCGTTGCGAACAGCCGCCGTACACCTGCTCCAGCTGCGCATAGAACGCTTCTTTCTCGTCGTCGGGTCTCCCTTCGTGTCGGGTCTTCCCCAGTGCACGATGATGATGTAGTTGAAGAAATGGCCCTTAATCCTCAACATGCACATCTTCGCGTTGATCAGCTGCCAAAGCAGCACTACAAAGCCGGTTCCCAGCTCGTTGGTGGTGCCACAGTTCTGGTTCCATACCTTTTGTCCCGTCCAGCAAAGTTCCTGCAGTGCTACTACTTCGAAGTTGCGTGGTTGAAGTTCATCATAGATTAACCTATCGCAGCCCGGGAAGCCGAGCGATTTGCACTTCCATGTTCCGAGTTTCCAATCATAGTCCTTATTTCGTCACGTAGGCCTGTGCCGATTGTTCCGATTCGTATTTCTTTCTTCAGTATTTGCAACTTTATGTTTTTTTCCAGGGCGGCGTGTTGGGCCTGCCCCAACCCCCTCTGTCTCGCCGGGGGACCATCGTGCACAGCTCTGTTTAGAGTCCCACGCTGGCACTAGGACGGTGATCAGCCGCTTCTAACATGGAGAACACACGCCGTTTTGAGCCACACCTCCATGGTGAACAGACGTTCGGGTTTGGTGAAGCATTTCCTCTATCACCGTACTATCATAGAGGTAACTCTAAGACAAGAAGGTCCCGAAGAAACGTGCTCAACTTTTTGGCTCAGCTCTGGTACTCTCCTCGGTCCCAAGCTAATCGATGCACCACTCGAAACATAGAAAAACCCGTAACGTGGGTAGCTCACCTTTTCGTGGTACGTTACGGGATGTAAGATCTACCACCGATTCCTAGTCCCGACTACTTCAAACTAGGGGAACAGGATTTTTCAGTAATCCAAGGAACACATCTTAGTCCTTGTTACTTTTTATGCCTTGTTGATAGAGACAAGACTCGGCTTTGTCTACCGAGGATGATCTTGAAACAAGGCAAAAAAAATGAGTTAGTTGTCTTCATCAATAGCGGGACCTTTCAATTAGACTCGGATCCTTGCGATAAATGCAAGAGTGGCAACTGTAAAAAAATCGAATGCTTCATCATTTCTCAATAGTGATGGAGTAATACCATAGAGGTAACTCTAAGACCACTGGGTCCCGAAGAAAATCATTATTATTTTTGGCTCACTCAGTACCAGAACAACGGTCCCAAGCAATCCCAAGCTATTTCACTCACCCCTACATGTTCTGCATGAATCCACACATCCCTGATGTTATCTGTCAAACTTTCATAGCGAATCAAAACAAACATAGTGTAGTAATAGAATTTCAACTAGAATAGGGTACGTTAATCGTTTGCTTGGGACCAATAGGCTACTAAAGTGGTGAGTCAATTTAAAATCGTTAGTTTCGTATTGATTGTTGGTATTAGCTTGTTACCATCATTGCACACTGGGCCAAGAATGCAATCTAGCGGAGCAAAATTAATAACACCGAAACAAGTATTTCCGCGACATAGTACCAACAATCAATACGAAACTAACGATTTTAAATTGGCTCACTACTTGACTAGCCTATTGGTCCCAAGCAAACGATTAACGTACCCCATTCTAGTCAAAATTCTAGTACTACACAATGTTTGTTTTGATTCGCTATGAAAGTTTGACAGATAAAATGAGAGGTTAGTGGATTTTCCTATGCTTCGAGGGGTGAATCGATTAGCTTGGGACCGAAAATAGTACCAGAGCTGAGTCAAAAAGATGAGCACGTTTCTTCGGGACCTACTAGCAACAATCAATACGAAACTAACGATTTTAAATTGGCTCACCACTTTAGTAACCTATTGGTCCCAAGCAAACGATTAACGTACCCTATTCTAGTTGAAATTCTATTACTACACTA